TTATCCTTTTGTCCCTTAGATTTGGTTTTACAAAAGAGAAACTGCGACAACGGACCAAAATCTTTCTCATTCCTGCTTGAACAGCAATGGACTAGAGGAGAATTCATTTATTTAAATCCCACCCCCACCCCCCCCTCAAACAACCCCCCCCCCCCCCCCAAAACCCCCCCAAAGCAAAACAAAAACCCAAACAAAGCAAAACAAAAAAAACAACCAAACTTTGCTGCAAACATTACTGTGCACAATTACAGACCCACTGACAGCGAATACCTTGGGCAGGGGGAATAGTGTTGTGAAATGATGGCGTCTTCAACATTTTTTGCTACCAAAAAAAATCCAAAAAATAAAAAAAATCAAATTAAATGCGGTCAAACCTGCTTTTACGGTCACCTGTCCAAGATAATTGCCAGTACAGACAGCCACTTTCCACTTCCCTCCTCGCTTAATTAAATATTAATGTTATAACGATTCTGTCAAAATTGCCCACCTGTCTAAGACAACCACTTTTTTTCTCAACAATGGGTGGTCATTTTGGAGAATACAATATTTTGAAAAACATTTTTTTGGGACCATTTTCTTTTTCAGAATACTACGGTCTAGTATATAACCTAAGGATGTTATCTCCACCTGAGGGTTTTTAGGAGGAAAAAAGTGAGCTGGGACAGACACAGAACGATTTCCATCACAGTGAGAGTCATGTGATCCCTGTTGCTCACAATGCTTTAGTTTTAGTTTTAGTAGATGTTTTACAGCACCCGCAACACAATTATTAAGCCATACAGGTGCCGAAGATTAGAGGTGTTACAAGATAGTAACTAACAAACACAAAAAGGAGAGATTAGGATGACAGATATTTGATCAGAAAAAAGGAGCAAATCACACCAGAGCATCCGCCAACTATCCGTGTACACATTGCTACAGAGATTGGGTAACTCTGTAAGCAGGAGCCATGATGGACTGTGAAGAAATGCAGGATGGACAGACATACAAAACAAAGGAATACAAAAGTACCCGAACCTAACAGTGGCACCCTCCAACAACCTGTGTGAGAATCGGGAGCATGTACCTGCACTTCCACCTTGAGAGTCCGGTGGTTTGAGGCTGATTACACAGATGGCACACAAATGTTGCAGACGCTTTGATTTTCAGTGACTGTTTGAGTTCATCAAACGTCAGTGGCCTAGTGGTTAGGCTCTCGGACTCGCAACCGTAAGGTCGTGGGTTCAAATCCCGTCAAGGGCCTGACGTTGTGTCCTTGGAAAGGCACTTTACACGAATTTTCCTCACCTCACCCAGGTGGTAATGGGTACCTGGCTATAGACAGCAAAAGATCTTGTCAATTTGTTAGTGTTTGAGCGCTTAATCAGCTGCTTGCACTGTATGCTTCCCGGGAAGCTGAGAATGTTTCGGAGTATTCTATGGTCTGCTGGGGTAATAATATAGTGTAAAGCGCATAGAGCCTGCTGTTGAGCGGGGATATGCGCTGTGCAAATGCTATTTATTATTATTATTATTATTATCAAAAGAAGCATACTGAATTGACAACTAACAACACTCATTAACTACTGGGTGACAGTATATGTTTTACACCCCCATCGAAACAATTGAAGTTATTTAGGAGGAAGGCTACCCCCACCCTGCAACTCATGGCCTTGGCCAACATGGGCTGGGTGGGTTACAGTATCTCAGCAGGACAAAAATCAAATGTTCAATAAAACACATTTCCTTGGGTAGGAACTGAACTTGCATCTTCTGTATACAGTGGCACAGCACCTAACCATTACACTAGAGACGCAGACAGGAGAAGATCATAAATAGTACAGAGACAGAAGAAAGAGAAACTGACAACTCCACCCAGGACACATCTTCTGATGCCCACAGCACCACTAAGTCAATTAGAAAGGAGAAGCAACTCAACGCAATGATGGTTATTTAGTGCAAGGATAAAAAGCTAGACAGACAGACAGACAGACAGATGGACAGACAGACAGACGGACGGACAGATAAACAGAACAGACAGACAGAAACAACAGGGGGAAAAAAACCAAGAAGAACCTACCAACAGCACCCTCCAAATACCGGGCCAGTGCTACCTACACCTATGACTGTGAATATACATGACATAATATACGGAAAACAAGCAGGGGGAAAACCCTCTCAGAAACAGAACAGCAAAGGGAACATCGTAACAACGCAGCATCACCCAGCAGTTACACAACATTTGGAAAATATCATAGCAACCCACACATTGTTAAAAATTCGCATTAAAAAAAATATGAGTAAAGCGAAAGTAATTACATGAGCGGGCTGGGTGCCCGAGAGAGAAGATTGCACGCGAGGTCTGTGTAGACGTTGTAATACTTGAGGGTTATTTGAACATTTCTCATTTGTTGAAGATTTGTTTTTTTGAAGTGTTTTGTATCAACACAACTCACCGAGAGGCGTTACTGCCACAACAAAGACTCCACTTTCACACGTTAACCTGTCATAATAAATATCTCACATCCAATCAAAACGAGGCGCAACTCGCTGAAAATGAAACAGAAATGGATACTCCAAATGATCAACATCTCAGCAACAAAAATTTCCCCCCTTTACCCTTAAATTGTGAAATGACTTTCACATTTTCCACAACAATTTGATATTAATTCCAGAATTTGATTCTTTACAAGATATCCATTTCAGCATTTCTGTTTCCAATGACTTAAGCCCCATCTTCACTGGTCACATGACATTCTCTCTCTCAATTCCACAATAACACAATATGATTAGATCATTTCAATCATTTGCATTGAATTTGCAGCTTAAAGTTCAAGCCCAGGAAAGTTTCTGTTCATGGACAGAAACAATAACAACCTGTGAGCGAGGCCCCCACCTCAAACATCAGATCCACCCATCCACATGGAGCCATAACACTTTCATTAAATTAACAAAAAAATGTTAGGGGGGGGGGGGGAGAAATTTACAAAAGCTTCAGGGGATTTCTGAAGTTTATGGCTCAAAACATTAAGTGCAGGCCTGAGTGAATGGTAAGTGTTGTCCGAGAAAAAACCCAGCTGAATGCGGGTCAGTAAAAAAGAAGAACAAGTTGGGTACAAAACCTTCAGGCTTCAGCTCAGCGGAAAGTTGAGCCGTCAACAAATATCGTACAACAAACTTCCAGTCTCTGTTAAAAATGTTCGAAATGCAAAACAACAAGTAGGCTACATGAACTATCTCTCCTCTGTTTTGTTCATCGGTTCCGACATCTTTGGTATCAAACAACCGTCAAACCACAAAACAAACTGCTTTCCAACAGCCCAACATCAACAATCACCCCCCCCCCCCCCTCCCCCCCAGACTCCCCAAACGTATTTATAAGCCAATAAGCCAAAAACAAGCGTAGTAAGCAGGGATAGAATAGATATACCTGAGCAAAGCAGAGGGTCACTGCTGTCCTGTCAACCCAGGAACATGCTCATGAACAGTTGTTGGTTATATATATACCTGAGCAAAGCATGGTTACTGTTGTCAAGTCAAGTGAGGATCAGCCTGAGATAAGCATAGTCACTGCTGTCAGGTCAACCCAGGAACATGCTCAACCAACAGTGAAAGCCATACACAAACACTCTGCGCAGAAATTTGTAATGGGGTGTATAAAATTTGATGCACACAGTCAAAACTTTGAGCCATTTTGTAAAAACTGCTATCATACTTTGTTCCCTTGCCATCAATTCATCCCTCGTACCAGACACGAAGAACTGTTCTGCAACTTTCTACAACACAAATTTGTCTGTGAATTGAGCTCCAGAGAGAGGGCAAAAAATACCTCTTCCCCATCCTCAAGAGCTGGGTCCTTAGCTCTGTGATGACAGTACAAATGTTCTGGTCTGAGTGTGGTAGAAAATCATCTCTCATTTACCCTTTGACCTGTTGTGCCATAGATACAACCACACATGGGTACAGCAGCAATGATAAACACACTCATTAACTCAAAAATGCCCCAAAAAACATAAAGCTTCTGTTTGCTCTCTCCCCCCTCCCCCCACCAACACACACACACACACAAAAAAAAGGTATCTCAGACATCTATAAAGCCAAGTGTGCGAAATCTTCCATCCATACAATGTGCTTTAAAGTCCTTTATGAAGTCAAAATCAATGTTATTTAGGTCGTATTCAGATATAACTTTAAGCAGTCATCTGCATCAACTGGTACTTCTGAAGGGGTCTCTATAGTTCTATCTCTCTCACAGAGTTTGGTAATTTCAAGCAAGCTGCAAGCACAACCAGCCCACCAGGAATGTTGAAACAAACACAGAAGTACAGACTCACACAAACACAGGGTCACACAAGAACACACTCATAGGCCCAGATCCAAAAAATACCTAGTACAACAACAATAGACGGCCTATATTGACTCTGAGTCTATGGGGTGTCCATTCAAACTCACATCATCAAACTGAAAGTAGCTTGTGCTGCCAGAGTCCAAACATTTCATTCACAACAATAATAAAACGGCAGATACAACCTTTTCCCCCTGAGGTCACGAGGAGTACAAGTAAACCAAAATCAACGCAGATATCCGTCTGTGTTCCAGGTTGTTAACACATCCAGTTGTTAATACTCTTTGCACTCTTTGACCTTGAATTGGTTCCTTCACGACAGCGTCTGAGAGGGGAAAGAAGAACTTTGTCCTTCGCAACTTCCTGTCTGAGTTCGTGGAGAAGCGACACAGTTGAACTTCCCCTTCACCTGAACGCTTTCAGCTCCCATCTTCCTGCTCTCCCCACAGCATATCCTTGCCGTCCTCAGCACAGGGAACAAAGTTACCCGATGCTTCAAAGAATCCTTGGTAAACCTGAGAACGGGGAATCCCAGCACCACAGCATAGCACCGATACGCCTGTGAACACGGGTGTCCAGGAAGTGGTAGGACACGAGAAAAAACTGTAAACGAGCTTTGACAAGAAGTGAATCCTGCAAAAATCGTTTTCCCTCGAGATGTCTTTCTCAGTCATCCTTTTGTTTTTTCCTATTTGTTGTCTTTCTGGGTTTCTTATTTAAAGTTTTCCTTGTTATTCTTTCACAATTCGTTCAGTTTTCCTTAGAAAAGCCCTTCTCCACGAGGTAAAACCTCTCCTGTCCCCCCAATAAAGATCTCGCTTGAGTTCACTCCTCCTTCAGGCCAACCAGTCCCTGAGCAGGATTCACCCCACCCAACCCGTTATCAGCAGATGCTGGAATCGTCCCTGACGTCGGAACAGTCAATTTTTTCCCCAATCGGAAGGCAGACCGGAGTAGGTCGGCCATCTCCCGCCAGGCGGGCATGGTGAACTTCTTGATGAGGCACAGGGCGGTGGAGACGGCGAAGATCATGTTACAGGACAGGATGATGTAAAAGTTGCCCAGCCAGTCCATGCTGCCAAAGTTACCCACCAGGTCAAAGTTGGTGATGCCTGGAAAGGGGGGAAGGGGAGGGGGGGTGGGGTGGTGTTGTTATTTCAGTAAAGAGTAACAGTGTCACAATAGCCCACAATTAGTTTAGTGCTTGGGAAAAGGAAGATGGATAGCTTCCATTTTATCAGTTGGCCCTACAACGCAAGTCTGTAATGATATGATGATGATTTAGCTTTTTTAAAAATACGGGTGATGAGGATGAAGTTGCATTGCTGGTGGTGGCGATGATGATAGAAATGCTGCAAATCTGCCTCACTGGGCGAGGTGAAGTTACGTCAGCCTTCAATCAGAGCAGTTGAGAAAGTAAATAATAAAAATAAGCACCCCCCCAAAAAAAACCAAATAAAGATTAAGAATTTAAAAACCCAAATAAAACTAATAGAAAAAAATAAACAAACACCCCTCCTAAAAAACCCCAAAATCTTACATAATCTTGAAGTACCAGCCTCCCCCAAAAAACCCTATCAGGGGTGGGCACAACCTTCCTACACATCCCTATTGCATTCCTCTCTCAGGGATTGAGGACACCCCCTTCAAGTGGGAGGGGGGGAGTCACGCCACGATATAAAAGAGAACTCACCCAATGTCTTGGACAAGACAGGAAGTGCGGAGCTAAGCAGCAGGATGACGCCGCAGTTGGTGATGATCTTGACCATGGGCGTGTCCTTGTGCCGTGGCTGCAGCTGCCACAGGTAGGGCAACGTGTAGAAGCCTACCACAGACGCAACCATCAGGTATCTGGGGCCAAGGTCAAGGACAAATACTCCGAAAGAATCTTAAGAAATTATGTTTGTCGACACCCTTACACCTCCTTTGATTCCAAATGTACCGATGACGTCTCTCCTTTGGAACATATCAAGGAAGTCAAGATCAGAAAGGAGGGAAGTAGCATGTAGGCAATCTATGAGTACTTACTCTATGTCTACTGCCCAGGCAAAGCTGTATCATGCATACCACTTTAAGATCATCCTTCGAGACGCAAAAGGCCATAATGTTTGCTGATAAAGCGAAAATAAAAAAGCAAATATTTGTGATGACAGAAAACACACAAACCACCTGACCCTGAAGTTCATTTGCCACAGCAAGACAGTTGGTCGTTTGTTACAATAAAGAGAGGTATATCACCACAGAAAAGGTTATCTAGTGCGTGGAAATAGTCAGAGGAACACAAACAACAGAACTGCTGCTACAGACTTGTTGAGTGGAAGTTTGCAACCAGCCAACCCGAGGACAACCACAGATGGTTGTGGAGTGGTAGAGGATAAAAGTAAAATGGTAAAGAAAAGGAAGAAGCAGACCAAATCAGGGAGCCCACCAACCATCCCCATAGTGCTGTGGAAAACTATCTCCTATCAGTCTAGCCAGCGCTATTCTGACGTCATTTTTTAAAATACAGTATATGCAGTATTTACAATTTTACAGAACAACTAAAAAACTGAATATGGTTACCAAAAAAAAACCTCTTTGCAAATATTTTAAGTCCATATTCTTATAGAACACAATTTTGAAAATAACTTCCTTATTATCTTTAAAGCAAATATTGTTTTATTGGTAACATTACTTATTTTTTTTTGCCCTACCGTAAAATAATTGTACAAACTTCATAAATTGTATTTTTTAAAATGACTGCAGTATTTTCATGCCAGTCTGGCAGGCACTAGTCTCATGCTGGTCTAGTTCGCGCTGGTGTGATGACAGTCTGGAAGTTTGCTAAATTTATGTCAGTCTGGTGTGTACTAGTCTCATGTCAGTCTGGCAGAGCTCTAGCCTGACACTGGTCTGGCAGGTGCTAGTCTGGCAGACTCTAGTCCGACATTCGTCTGGCAGGTGCTAGTCTGAGTTTGGTCTGGTGGAGTCTAGTCTGATTTTGGTCTGGCGGGCTCTAGTCAAACGCTGGTCTAGCAGACTCTAGTCTGACATTAGTCAGGCAGGGTCTAGTCTGCTGTTAGTTGGGCTGTTGTTCATCTCACACAGAGTTCAAGGATACAAAATCACAACAATTTGTAGGGCGGCTCCGACAGAGCCAAAAGAGGACAGGGAAGTCATCCCCAAGCCTATGTCCTGGGGAGGGAGAAAGGTTTTAAAAAAAATTACCGTTTAGTAAGACCTTTACAGCACTTGCAACAAAATTTGGTCATATAAGTGACCAAGATTAGAGGTGTTACTATAGATAACACACAAAGAAAAGGAGGAGAGATAAAGGTGAGAGATGTTTGACAGGAAAGAAGGAACAAACCACACCACAGCACCCTACAGCTAACCATAGAGGGAGAGTGTAATAAACTGTTCACCACAAAATCTGACAGGGTGGCTGTTACCATTCTGTGAGGGGTGGGGGTAGGGAAGGTGCAGTGTGAGTAGGAAAGTAGCGTGTGCGAGTGTGTGTGTGTGTGTGTGTATGTGTGTGTGTATGTGTGTATGTGTGTGTGTATGTGTGTGTGTGTGTGTGAGTGTCTTTGAGTTATGAGTAGAAGGGAGTGGTTGTAGTGTATGTGTGGGTAATATTGTGTGTGGGAAGGAGCTGAGTGAGGGAGGAATTGTGAGCGTGTGGGAGGAAATTGTGTATGTGGGAAGGAGCTGCATGTGTGGGAAGGAGTTGTGGGAGTGGGATGAAGTTGTGTGTGTGAGAGGGAGTTCTGTGTGTGAGAGGGAGTTCTGTGTGTGGGAGGAGATTAGTGTGTAGGAGGAAGTCGTGTGAGGAGGCAATATTTTGTGTGGAAGGGAGCTGCGTGTGTGAGTAACACAGTTTCTGACAGTAGTTTTAGTACGTATTTTCTTATGGCATTCGTAACAAAAACAGGTAAAAAAAAGTGCCAAAGATAAGAGGGGTTGCTGGATACAAGGAAAAGATGCAGGAGAGATAAGACTAAAGAAGTTTGATAGGACAGTGATTAAAAACAAACACACACACACACACACAGAACTGATATATAGTATGCATACATATGTTCAAGGATATTGCTCGCTTGAGAAAAAAGAATCACATAAGACACAATGCCAGTCATTTAGGTGCTATGGAAAACCAAGACGTTTACATAGAATGAAAGAGGGAGAGTTAAGAAGTAGGATCAACCAGAGGCATCTTCCAAACACCCACAAGACATCTAGATAGATATAACAGAAGGAGAGTAAAGAAGTAAGACCAGCGAGAGGCATCTTCCAAACATCCGCAAGACATTAAGATAAACAGAAAGAGAGTAAAAAAAATAAGACCAACAAGTGGCACCCTCCAACCACCTGCCAAATTACAAGGAATGTCTCTCCCCGACAAAACAACCGGACACACAAATGTGCCCATAGCTCAGTACTCACTGTAGCAACCTGCGGCAAAGCTTTGGTGCCCACCAGCAGGAGAAATGTGTTCTGTAGGACGATGAAAAATGCTGATACCTGTGGGAAGGGGGGGGGGGTAAATATAGAGAGGGATGGAGGGAAGGAGGGAGAAAGGAAGTCAGAGAGAGAGAGAGAGAGAGAGAGAGAGGGGGGGAGGAAGGAGGGAAGGAGTGAGAGAGAGAGAGAGGGAGTGAGAGAGAGAGAGGGAGAGAGAGAGAGAGAGAGAGAGAGAGAGAGAGAGAGAGAGAGAGAGAGAGAGAGAGAGAGAGAGAGAGAGAGAACCGTCAGGGAAGAGAGAGGGGGAAAGGAAGGGGGGGGGGGGGGGAGGAAGTGAGATGGGAAAGGAAGTGGAGTGAAAAGGTGGGGTGGGGGGTGGGGGTGGTGGGAAAGGATGAATTGAGACTTACTTCAGTAAAAGAAGAATGCAATTATGAGAAGATTATAATGAAGGTCAATGAAACCTGCAATTATTTTGTGAACATTGACACCCTTCAAAGACTGCCTTTTGACCCATCAAACTGCTTCCATACTTTAATGATTTTTTCCCTTTATCACTACCTTATAAGAATCAAATGTGACAAACAATCCAGCCATGGTATGGCATGGTAGGTTTTGTGACTTGTGGTACATAAACAGATCAGTAAATAGTAACAATAAATTCATATAGCAATAAAAATCAGTCGACTCCCAATACTTCACTGAGCTTCATGGCAGTACACATATGGTGAAGAATTACTAATTAGAAGAAGAACAACAACAACAATAACAATAGTAATAATAATAATAATACTTCTACTACTACTACTACTAATAAATAATGATACATAGCATTTGTATTTTGCAAATTCCCACTCCTCCGCGAACTCTACGAACACTATAATTCATATTACAGTACTGACCAATAAACACAACATAGCCAGGGGACTTGTTTGAGTTTATTTGAGTCAAAGAGAAACATTTCATCACAATAATGAACATTTAATGCTGGAAAAAAAATATGCAAGAATGACAGACAGAAGCAACAGAGGGAGAGTCAAGAAATGGGATGTACCACAACAACACACTAAAGGGGTAACAAAGATTACTTACTGTAATGACGAATAACAACAACATAACAAGAGGGTAACAAAGATGCCGCCTCCAAAATGATATGTGCTGACGCTTCTCTGAAACAAAAAGAAAAAAAAAAGATGAACAATGTAAGTCTAAAAAAAGAAATGAGCCAAAAACACACGAGCAGTATAGCACAGAAAGTGATATCCAACACAACAGTAGCCGTATATACAAGGACAGACTCAGACAATATAAATGCTTAAGCCATACTTGTCCAGACCATCATTTACTTCCCAGTGAAACAAAAAAGTATCACAAAGCGGTGGAATCAGGCGCTCGTCAATTTTTGAACATGTAGAGTTATTGGTATCACCTTAAAGCTTGTACATTTGTGCAACTTCTGGAATAGAAGTCGAGATATTTAGGATTGAAGGGGGTGGGGGTTGCCTGGTTTCAGAGGTAACACTAGCGAGAAAATGGCCGCCATAGACTGGAGACTACCATAGCTTAAGAGACCTATTTAACTGAAAATTTACATTTTTTTGTGCCTTTAATCAACGGTTTTCTGAAAAATCAACACAACAATGTGGTTTTAAATGGACATGAAAGGTGTTGAGTCAAAAAATTAAAATTTGAAAAAATTTGTCAAACAGCCAGAAAAATGCAGTTTTCTTTGATTTCATTATTTTGACGAGCGCCTGATTTCACCATGGTGCCTCACATATGCTTATCTCTTCAATCACAAAACAACGCTCATAGTGTTCCTTAAAAAATCCCAAAATCAAGTAAGAATTCTGTCAGTGTTCATTCATATTTTTCCTTATTTCTTGGAATATTTATTCTTTTGCATGTTTTGTATCTCTTTCTCCTCTTGCAAATGTGGCCAGCAAACCAGGCTAAGGAATCATTTTTCCTTTCATTGTCACTAGAATTTTTGTATTGATACATTTTTACTCAAAGTTAAATATTTCTTTTGGGTGTTTTAGAAAGCATTTTACAGCACAGGCAACACAATAAGGTCATATAAGTGCTGAAGATTAGAGGTGTTACAAGAGAGTAACAAACACAAAAAAGATGCAGGAGAGATCAGGACGATAGACGTTTGATAAGGAAACCACATCAGAGAACCCGCCAACCACCCGCATAAGTTTAATATTTGTATTGACAAAAAAGTAACAAATACAATGTGCAGGGTGATCATTCTTTGTAGCAATAACCATTCATCACATCTTGCCATGCAGTTGAGGTGTTAACAGTTAACCATAGTTTTGATAGGAAGAACAAATATTTTTTTGAAAACCCACCAACCTAAAAAAATGAAATTTTCTTCCTTGTCGACTGTAGACCTATTTACTGAACTATGTATAGCAGAGGAGGAGGAGGAGGAGGAGGAGGAGGAGGAAGAGAAGAAGAACCATGAACACTTAGGCAAACTTACAAAGGCACAGAGACAAAGACACACACAAACTGACCTAACTCCTTCTTCTCTGAGCGTTTCTGTTCTAAACTCTGTATCAAAGACTCCAGGCTGGCGTGGCCATTGGAGATCTGGGACGGACCTGCAGGGAGAAAAAACATTGTTGGTACGCACTCTTCAACAGTAAGGTCATATGTGAGGTGTGATGACAAAATGAGGTAAGTCTCGGATTTCAGCCCTATGGATACTGATAGATACAGGAAATTCATAGGTTGTGGTTGTACAATTTATTACATGAAATGATAAAAGACATGTCTAACTTCAAAAATGGCACCCGTTTAAAATCTACAAATACTATGTGTCTATTTCCTGCCGATATCTGCATTTATGGGTTGCGACATCAATGTTATGTCGTTCATGTTCCAAAAATTCGACAGCTTTTGTCGAGCCTTTTTTAGACAGATTTTTTTTTCATTCACACTTGTCCAAAAATTTTTACAATTTAGAATTGCCGACTTTAGGGTGTCTTACGAAATAACAAGACAAGTTACAATGTCTGCTCTTTTCTGAGTCTCAAGAACAGAAATGCATGCTTTGGGTGCATTAAATGATAATTACCATAAATACAAGGATGCACCTAAAACTTACGTTGAAAAGTACCAAAAATTAAGTCAGCCCAGACAGAACGGCGACAGGGAGCAGACCCCGTGACCCCGGCGTGATAAGGCGCTCGGCGGGAAATCCCCCACTGCAACTAAATTTCCAGCACTGGTGCCCCGTGTGGAAAGTACTGTGTTTGTTATTATCAGTTATATTTAGAAAAAGGGGATAAAGGACAAGTACATTTTTGTTTTCCTGAGTTTTTATATACCAAACTGTGATTCTGGAAATGTGTTAACATTCATTCATCTAGTATACAAACCCATATAAGGACATGCAAAGTAAACACATTTTGCTACCCAATCTATTTCTAGAATTCAATCCTATTATACTGAGGAAATTCAAAGCGGACTTACCATTTCTGTAAGTAATTTTTCTGAGCAAATTTTCCTCCTCAAAATGTAATTTACTGAGTTTTTCTTCGATGTCTCGCAAAAACTGAAAAAGACAAGACATCAATTAACATCAGTGTTAGCAAGAGTAGAACACAGTCATAAGAAGGAATTATGACAAACCGACAACCACACAGTGACACAACTCATGTAGCCTACTGGACAAACAGAATTCTTTTCTCACTGTCTCACCATTGAACTTGATATCAGTTCAGGTGTATAAATTCAATGCTAACAAACCGCTACCTTATCGTTACAAAGTTCTGTCTAACAATTTTGGCTGTTTTGAGCTACTAAGACCATGAGGTCAGAAACCAAATGTTCTATCTGCTCTGTAAATATCGTAAGATTATTCAGAGTCTTTTTCAAGATAATCAAAGTACTGCTTTCGAAAAAGCTTGACATCTTGGGACACGAAAAATATCTAATGTTAAATTTCTCAAAACTAGGTAATGAGCAGATAGAACTTTGTAATACTAGGGCAGCGAAATGTCAGCCTATCATGTGGGCAGAAGAGGACTTTCTTGATACAGCCAACCCACTGAGAAAGTATGCAGGAGAAAATGTGGTGAACTGTGCATGTTTTATACCTCCCACTGACATTATTTTGATCATCTAGGAGGCAGATAGTGTCTACCCTCTTTGAGAGGGATTCAGCACCCCAGCAGACAGGTGCAGAAAAATACAAACCAGAAGTGAACCTACATCTCCTACTTCCAACAGCACAGAGCCTAACCATTACACTATAAACGATGGGTTGAAAAAATGTGGTTCTAAAACTTACATTATAAACAGGTTGAAAAGATTCTCAAATATCACTTGCGTTATAAACAAGTAGAAAAGATTATCAAATACAGCTAACATTATAAGCAAATTGAAAAGATTCTCAAATACTACTTGTGATATAATAAGGTTGAAAAGACTCTCAAATACTACTTAAATTACAATCAGGCTGAAAAAGTGGTCGATACTGCTGATGTTATTGCTGGATCAAAACTTGAGATCATCCACCACAAACACAGCTATATTTAACAATTGCGTCTAAAGATCACTTGCAGGAGACAAACTGCACATAACAAATTGTCACTGCCACACCGCATTTCCCTATAACTATGTCATTTTTTTCAGGTTTGTAGTCACTGGTATTGTAAAAAAATGCCTGTTACTAGTTTGATATCTTCAATATAGCAGGGCTTTGTTTTGTTTCCTGTTCTGAAAACTCCAGTTACTGAGACATTTCCAGTTTTGCTCAATGCATAAGATTGAGTTAAGAGAGAAATATCTTCCTAAATTCTCTCAAAACAGAAAAAAGAGGACGGAGGCAGAAGTATTATTGCTGTGATAAGATGAGAAAACAGCTCAGTGTCCAGTTTGCTTACCTGTGGCTTGACAATGAGCTGATCCATGACTGTGAACATACGAGCAACACCAACAGGTGTACACACTGAAAGAGGAAAACAGAAGTCAGTCAGTCAATGACAGAGCCTATGAAGTGACTTCAAATGGGAAACTTGGGAACTGCGCTTAAAATGTAAAAAAAAACCTAAAGTAAAGTGAAGGAGATCAAGTCAAAGGAAATGAAAGTAAAGAAGAAATATGAGTAGAAAGAAGGGAAGAAAAGGTAAAAAACAAAAACCTGCTAAAATATAAAACAGGCAGAGGAGGAGGAAAAATAAAAAGAAAGAGACAACAAGGTTCAACTTTTTTGTTTTAGTAAGCGTTTTACGGCACTTGCAACACAATAAGGTCATATAAGTGCTGAAGGTTAGATGTGTTACAAGAGAGTAACAAACACAAAAAAGGAGGGGAGATAAAGAGGATAAGACATTTGATAGGAAAGAAGAAGCAAACCACACCAGAGCACCTGTCAACCACTCACAGTTCAACAATAAACACATGTAAAAGGAGCATGAGGAGGAATTAGGGAAGGAGTCAATCAGGAGAAAGAAAAGAGAAGTGAAAACAGAGGAGGAAAAAGACGCGCACTCAGGAAAAGATTCATAAGATAAAATATCAGATAAGCCATAATAATAATTGCATTTATATAGCGCATATCCATGCTCAAGAGCTTGCTCTATACGCTTTTCAACTATTATTAACCCAGCAGACCCTCTGAGAACACTCAGAAACTTTCTCAGCTTCCGCGGAAGCATACAGTGCAAGCTGCGGATTTCACGCGCTCAAACACTATCAAACTGACATGATCTTTCACTGTCTATAGCTGGGTACCCACTTCCACCTGGGTGAAGTGAGGAAAATTTGTGCAAAGTGCCTTTCCCAAGGACACAACGTCGGGCCCCTGACGGGATTCGAACCCACGACCTTACGGTTGCGAGTCCGAGAGCCTATCCACTAGGCCACCGACGCCACATCTGTGGTGTATGTATGTTATGATGATGAGGATGATGATGATGATGATGGTGATGATGATGGTGATAGTGATGATGATGATGATGGTGATGGCAATGATGATGATGGTGATAGTGATGATGATGATGATGATGATGACGGTGATAGCAATGTTGATGATGGTGATTGTGAGGATGATGATGAGGATGATGATGACGATGATGACAATGATGATGAGGATGGCGAGGATGGTGATGATGATGATGATGATGATGGAGTTAAAGATCAATACCAGGCACAATGACAGTCATTCTTTTTTTGCTGCTCCGTATGTGCAACCAGAGAGATACCCAAACCACTTTACCACACCAGAGCACCCACCAACCATCCACACACACACACCACAAAGTCCGGCATACCCACACCACAAAACCTGATTCATGATATCTACACCACAAAGAGATGCCCATACTCAAGGCCTATGTGATGATACCCATACCGTTCATAAAACAATGCCCGAATGATACTGAGTGATACTCACATAACAATGCTCGAGTGATACCGAGTGATACTCACATAATAATGCCTGAGTGATACTCACATAATGCCCGAGAGATACTCACATAACAATGCCCGAGTGATACTCACATAACAATATGCAGACACCGAGGAAGGAGATACAGGAGTACATGTAGGGCAGGTGGTCGTGCCAGACGTCTGTGTGGAGAGGGAGAGAAAGAGAAACACATGTATGTAAAAACATTCAGAAACACAGGCAAAACATGTGCAAAACACAAGTTAAAACACCAGCAACCTGGCTCCTGACCCCAGTGATAAGGCTTTTCTGGACCAGGGTCATATTATTATTTCACCGATCTGTGAACAACTTTTCAACTTGAAGGATAAAACATCTCCAATAAAAGTATTCTGAGAGAAAGGATAAAATATCACCTAAAAGTATTCTGAGAAAGAGAAAGGATAAAACATCTCATAAAAGTATTCTGATGCTCAGGATTCAACTTTTGTCCTGAAAAAGTTCAAATTCTAAAAAGGAAAAGGGAGAAAATTCAATATATTTTCTTGTACATTGGCCACATTAGTTGAAGCAAGTTTACAGAACACGATAAGGGAAAAAATAAGTACTAAATAAAATCAAGACAATAAAGACATTTCAGAAGAATGGGAAGTTTACAGCACAATAATATGTGAGGCAGCATGGTGAAATCAAGCGCTCGTCAAAATAATGAAACTGAAGAAAATGGCATTTTCCCGCCGGTTTGGCAATTTTTCTTAAATTTTTGTTCTTTGGCTCAAAACCTTTTATGTCCATTTATCATTTAAAAACACATTTATGTGTGGATTTTACTGAAAGTTGCTAATCAAAGGTATAAAAAAAGTAGATTTTCAGTTTCCAAGGACTCTAGCTATATAATTCAACAAACTTTAGGGGCCATTTTCTCACTAATTTTACCTCTGAAACTGGGTGACCCCACCTCCTTCAATTGCGAATACCCCGACTTCTATTCAGGATAGATGGGTATATTTTTTTTATTGAAAGCAAGAAAAATGGATAAACTTTAAGATGACATCAATAACTTGACAGATCGTCAATTTTTGGGCATATGGGGTTATTGGTATCATCTTAAAGCCAGTTCATTTGCCTTGCTTTTGGTGAAAACAATATTCATCTCGGTTAAAAAGAAGTCGAAATATTTGCGATCGAAGGACACCAGGATCGCCTCATTTCAGAGGTGGAATTAGCGAGAAAATGGTCGCCAAAGTTTGGTAATTTCCATAGCTTGAGAGTCCTTGGAAATTGAGAATTGACATTTTTTCAGTAAAATTCACACAGCAATGTGTTTTTTAATGGATATAAAAGGTGTTGAGCCAAAAAAAGAAAATAAGAAAAAAATTGGCCAACGGTCAGAAAAATGCCAATTTCTTTGATTATATTATTTTGACGAGTGCCTGATTTGACCACAATGCCTCACATACGGTGAGGTAAATCACATAATCCTCAAGTTAATAAAGATGTTTCATATGAATGGAAGTCTTTAATTAGTCGACTCATTAACAGAATGAGGACAAAAAAAATGTCCTGCTCACAAAGATAAGTTGAGAGCTCGGACAGACTAGAACTTGGTACAAACAATCACCTCATTCCTAATGCTTATGCGTAATCAAACAATCTTTTTGGATACACAGAAGTACATGGACAATATAATGATCATCTACTTCTGGGAAAAAGCAAGATGGACAGGCACATAAAACTGGAAAAGCAAAGAAGAACCTACCAGAGGCACCCTCCAACCATCCACATACTCAAACTTCAAACTAAGATTTCTTTGACCAAACAAGCAAAGCGTTCACGGGAAAGGAAAATCATTGAGGAAAAGTTTAGCTATAAGGTTCAGGCTGGTTACCCGGAACGACTTCAGTTTTAATAGTTTTAAGAGTTTTACAGCATTTACAACACAATAACGTCATAAAAGTGTCGAAGATTTGAGGTATTACAAGAGAGTAACAAACACAAAAAAGAAGGAGGAGCGATACGAAAAGTAGACGTTTGACGGGAAAGAAGGAGCAAATCACACAATAGCACCTGCCATCCACCCACCGGAGGGACTGAATAAGACAATGAATAAAAATGAAATTAAAAAATACACACAAATCAATAAAGAAATAAAAGGAAAACCAGCTTGGATAGGAGGGAGTCTGCAGCACATCTTCATGGCAGGAGGTAAACAAACACGCTAGCTACTGGGAGAAGCAAGTCTTTTGGCTTATAGGGAAACATGATGCGCACGGCACAAAAATGCACACACTTACACACATGCCATATTCGAATACAACAGGGCCAGCATACAGAGAGACAGAAAAAAAGAAGAAATCCACAAGTTGGAGATGAGCAGATACTCTGGTGGCATACTTAAAAACATTGTCTTGCAAGGAAGAAAAAATCAATGCTGGCAGTGATAAAATTTGCACATATGAGGAATATGAGAGCAAGGCCTTTGTGTTTGCATGAGCATAATGCTGCGCTAGACACAAAGATATCATTTGGAAGCTGCAGACATCAGTCCAATGTTTTAAGGAGGTAAAAGTGAAAAAAAAAAAAAGACAAAGGAGGATTCGGTAAGTAAACATTACACATGTGAACATCAGCAGAGAATTGATGTTCATAAGCATAGCTCCATCAATAGAGTAGTTGCACCTCCTGCTAGTGTGCAAAGGGTCAATTTGTTACCCCCCCCTCCCTTCCACCCCCACCAACCGGTTGTAACAGAAAGACAAAATGAATACAATGTCCACTTGCCACTACAGTCCCAAATAGCTATTTCAGGAGGTTATATTATTAAGTAGAATTTACTTTACAACATTTTATTTTTAAAAGCCCCCACATAATCCTCATCTTGAACCTAGCCTGTGAAAGTACATAATCCCTTTCTAATGAAACAACTCAAATACACACCGGCAAATCATTTAAATAATGCAAAGCTGTAAACTCACAAAAACAAAAAAAACCCACAGTTACATACTCTTTTGATTGAAACACTCAATGAAAAACAATACAGACCATGAGGCTTTTGAGAACCATAATAATCAACAATTTAAATATATCAATGCATGAAATGGTTCTGCTCACAAAAAAAAAAGTTTTTTAAAGGACAGAGTGATCATGGGTAAATGGACATTGTGTTATGAACACATATTGAACGAGGTGAGAACAAATTTCAGAAACACTGTTAATTGATCTCTCCAAGATAGTCTTCTTTCACATGCTGCATTTAACCACTGATGACGACATTATCATCCTGTTCTTTCCTCGTCACACCTCTGTTAAGGTTTTCACAGTAAGTTGCTCTGGGTCTACTCTGCCTCCTTTATTTTCTATTTTTTCCTGTGAGAGCAAGACGTTCAAGATCTCTATATCGATTAAATTGTCAACGAAACTGCGTTCTACAAGTGCTTCAAACAACAACGCCTGTTTGAGCAACATAGAACACAGACAGACAGACAGACAGACAGACAGACAGACAGACAGACTGAAAATGACTGTAAATACTCTATAACCCCATCAACAAAGCTTTCCATCATGCAAGATTTGGACTGCTTCACTTCTAATTCTGCCTGTCAGGGCCCACCTTGGCTGAGTGGGAACCAAAATGCCTGCAGACAAACTGAGATACTGTATGAAATAATTTCACTAAGCGGGAGTCGAACTTACATCTAGTCCATGCAGTAGCAAAGGTCGTAACCACTGCACTGCACATACTGATAGACACTGGCAAAAAGAGAAAAACTTTGAACTATTGTCTATGAAATAGAATGACCGTGTGTTGGGTCTTTGGGTTCACTATTTAAAAATAGCAAGGCTGCAGCCACCAAGTGACATGATAACATATATTACAAAGTGACATGATAACATATACTACACAGCACTCGGTCATTATTCAAGAAGATGGCCAGAGGTAGAGAAAGAACAAACCTCTCGCCAGAATTGACAACAAAACATACATACACTTGCCACTTTTCTTTTGAAAGACAAGGCAAAAAAAAACAACAACTAAGAGCCCACTAAATAAACCATTACTGTTCTACCAGATTATTACTCTTGTCTCATCTGACACTGTCAGATTGATGGAGGCATAAACAATCTATGATTACATTTTTACTTTCAGATTTTAAAATGTTTTGTTGCATTAAAGTTCATCCATGACCTGCCATAACTCTATCATTAGCAACAAAATGAGCACACCTGATGTCCATAAATACCACTATCAACAATGGAAACAAGCAATGCTGGCACCCATGGACTACTATTAGTCTACTATTTCCATTATTCATTAATATTTTAAAAAGCAGTGAATAAATTTCCGCTACATTCTGACAAAAACATATCCTGTTTCACTTTCATACATACAAAAAAAGTTGACGCTCACATTTTTGCAGATAACAGTTTACTAACAGTTTGTCCGCTAAAAAGCCAAAATTTAAACATTTAGAATATTGATAAGAAATGTGGCCTCCTTATTGGCTAATCTCAGCTGAAGGATTCCAAACCAACAACAAACACGTCGGAAAGCTTGATAATGATGTTACTAATCACAATAACATAAAAAGAACAAGTGGGAAACGGCGGGGCAGAAAGGTGGGAGTTGGTGGGTGGGCAGGTGGGAGCATGTGTTTTGAACAAGAGCACGCTTGAAGACTGAACAGCTTAAAGGGTAGGTTCAAACTGTGGAGGGAAGCTCTGTGCTCTTTATATCGCAGGCAGTAAGGGTACGTTGGTAAAAAAAAAAAATCCAAACATTTCTTAAAACTTGGAGAAATGTAACATAGCAAAAAAATAAATAAATAAAAAAAATAAAAAATCCAAAACAAAGAAAGGTTAGGTGCTTAGGAAATATACCTAATATCCTACCCACACATATGCTTATGTTCATTTCATTGATGCAGTCTAGGGAGAAAGACAAATGGGAAAACAAAAACAGTCAGCCAACAAAGGCAGAAACTTAAAAACATAAACTTAAGGTGAATATCGATAAATCACTGTCAAGGTGCATATATACCCATTTTTGCTCAAGCAAACAAATCCTTAAAAAAAACCCATGTTATCATAACTGTATTGAAGCAGCATAAATAAAAATATTTCACATAGCATCAGTAAAATAATGAAATATCAAGGGAAAGAAGTTTGGGACAGGAGAGCATGCATTCTGAACATTTCATAACCATATAAAGGATCTATAAAAATCCATCCCACTCTAGACATAAAGTAAAACACATTCTAAAGACACAATGACAAAAATCTAGGTGGTGGACAAAATGCCCGCACAGTTTCAGACCTTTTCACAACAAATAAGACAAATATTCGAGACAGCAAAACATTAGAACTGCTCCATCATTTGGCAAAAAGATGCCAGTCCATAATTAAATCTACCCTCTTCACCCAGGCCTAGAGACTGCAAATTTATAACAAGGCAACATAACTTTGTTGCAATGTGCTGGCGGTATATGAACAGCTGAATGCTGCTGAAATAGCCAGTCTAACATTTCTAAAGTAAAACTTAGCAAAGGGGAATGTTTCAGAACAAACACTCAGCCAACATGTTCCCATCATATCTTCTTGTAACTGGTATTATTTCAGAGCTAATATTTTGTCAGCAAGCTACGGTCAAATCTCCTAACAGGGACTGTTTCAGAACAAATACTTTGCCAACATGCTATGGTCAAATTTCCTAAAAGGGATTGTTTCAGAACAAACACTTTGCCTACATGCTATGGTCAAATTTCCTAAAAGGGATTGTTTCAGAACAAACACTTTGCCAACATGCTATGGTCAAATTTCCTAAAAGGGATTGTTTCAGAACAAACACTTTGCCAACATGCTATGGTCAAATTTCCTAAAAGGGATTGTTTCAGAACAAACACTTTGCCTACATGCTATGGTCAAATCCAGCAAAGGGGAGTTTTTCCCAGAACTTTGCCAACATGCTCTTGTCAAACCTAGTAACGGGGAATTTTTCAGAACAAACATTCTGTTAACATGCTCCGCTCTGGTTTAACCTAACGGCTACAACTATTTCGAGACAATTTTTTCTCAAACACAATCATAGTCATGCCTATGTGTGATACTCATGAAAGTGGACAACAAAATAACATTCTGTTAACATGCTCCGCTCTGGTTTAACCTAACGGCTACAACTATTTCGAGACAATTTTTTCTCAAACACAATCATAGTCATGCCTATGTGTGATACTCATGAAAGTGGACAACAAAATAACATTCTGTTAACATGCTCCGCTCTGGTTTAACCTAACGGCTACAA